TTTCGACTTTTTAATAAGCTCGCCCTCCATTCGTAGAGTTATCATGCCCCCTGGGGGTGGGGTGGGAGGTGCGCCCCACAGTTTGAGAAACGCTGTTTTAAGCTATTACTAAATGTCGAGAAAAGATCTTTGTTCCATATGTCATATTATTTCTAATGGACCCGTTTAGATCAAAATTGGTTCTTGCGCTGTAAACCTCCAACAGTTACTTATTCACACTACATTCTGCTACCTTTGAGAAACTTTCATTCTTGTGGTTGATCATATGCTCGTTCTCTCCGAGTTCGACTTAACAATGAATATTTTGAGAATCAAATCGAAAATTGAAGCAAATGGAAGGGCCAGCTTGATCTCAGGACGTTAATATGATGAAGGATCTTTGGGATAATTTTTGAAAACGAGTGGTATCTTTAAGTTCTTCCCTGGGACTTTAAATGTGATGGAACTAGGTTTACTTCGGCTGAGGACTTTTGCAAATACTACAATTCGTTATTTCTAAATCATGCTCGACGGCAAAATTTTAAAATAATTCATTAAGTAACCGTTTAAAATCTAATTGTTTTAAGTGTAATCATTTATTTTCAAATAAGGAAAAAAACAAAACAAGTAACATAAAATGTTTTTTAGTTAAAATGTTAAGTCAAATTTTTATTTAGGTCAACAATGAAACATTCTATTTTAGTTACTTTAAACTCCATGAGATCTGGTGAAATCATCTTAAAGATCTTGACCAAGACATAAAGCAGTTGCCGAGTTTCGTCTGACCACTAGACACGATTGTCTCCTGAAACATCTACATCGAATTCATGTTGCACAGTCCCTTTTCTGAATGCTCTGCAATTTTCGGAAGGACATGGATGCTGACCACATTCACCGCTGCCCAGCTCTAAGGCTCCTCTTTGTATGATTTTTATTGGTAAGCTAGGGGCTTATCGGGTTTATAGACATTTATCGCCATTTTTTCCCCCTTTGTTTATTTTGTCTGCTTTTGTTTTTGTTTCTACCCCCTTGTGGTGTAGTGGTCATCTGTAACCCTGGTCATTGGAAATAGAAAAAGAGAGCATTAATTACTTTTTATTAAATAATTACAGTTGATATAAATATATATATACGTATGACTGAATCACAATATTAAGTGCCAAAACATCTTTTAACTTAACATTAAAAACTTTTTAACCACTTTAAATTTGTAATTACATTTTTTATAATAAAAGTTGAATATAATAGGTAAGGATTTATCTTAAAATCAGTGTAAAAGGAATGCTGACGTCTAACTAGCATATAGTTTTATTCAGGTTAATTTAAATCTTCATCACAAGTTTAACAAAAGATATTTTATTCAATAGTGCTGCTATCTAGAGGAATAATATCGACTGAAATATATATCTTAAACTAAAATTAATTAAATTAATTAATGAATTATAATTTAATAAAACTGTAGTAATACCAAGTGTTATCCACTTAAAGTTTAAAAAAATGTATTTTAACCTCAGTGGATGAATAAACAGTAATTTATTAACGATTGGAAACATGAATAAGATACATAAATATATATATGCAGAGTAAGAACTAATAGTAGGAATTTTAAAAAAACTTATTTTTCCTCATCACTTGAAAACCAGGGTACATTTTTCTTATAAAAAAATCATTCTGAAATTAATTTTCCTATCTCGTATTCTTCACTTTCTCTAATTGCGTTAGAAGCATTAGTACTGTTCACTAATTCAATTCCTACTATTAGTTCACACTTTTCCTGTATATATATACATACAGGGTGTAACTAAACTCTGCGGCAAAACTTTAAGGGGTGATAGTACACATCAAGACAAACAATAGTAAATAGGAAACTTAGCGTCCCAAACGTCTTCCGAAGGAGGTGCCATTAAAGTTTAGGGTCCGAAATTTCAAATGATTATACAGAACGGAAAAATGGGTCGATTCGTTAGTGGTTTTCGCTAAAATTATTCTTTTTGTCAGTATTTTCTTGAAAAATAAACCTTGAAGATAAATCTAAAAAAAATGTCGATAGAGAGCGCTTTAGACTTCGGAGTAACGAACAACTATTTTTTACTGTTATTTTTTATGTATCACATTAAATACTTCTAAAAGTTTAGACTTAAATTTTGAGCTCAAAATTTGAATCGTTGGGAATGGTTAAGTAGCACAAACTCTACTGTGTTCAGAAGGTGAAATTTGAACTCCTCCTTCCCTGGACACTGTTCAGTTATTCACGATCTTCGATGCTCGGCCGACTAGGCAGCAACTACTACCCACTAAATGTAAAATAAACGATAGTTATTCATAACAGACATGAGCAATTTCTCTCCGTAAAATACCCGATTATGCAAATCACCAGATTTCCATGCAAAGTGTAGTACACAAGGATTTAACTGTATGGTGCAAACTGTATGTAAGGATGTAAGATTCAACTGCAAAGTGTTCCGGCCAACATAAAGGCTTGTATGTGTTTCCAACATGACGGAGAGCCTGCACATTTCAGCGTAGATGTGCGAAGTGCATTGGATACAGCATATCCAGGACGATGGATTGGACGGGGTGATCCGGTAAATTGACCGGCACACTCACTTGACCTCTCCTGCCTAGACTTCTTCCTCTGGAGCCATATGAAGAGTCTTGTTTAAGCAAGCCCCGTCGACTCCGACGAGTCCCCGGTTGCGTGGATTGCCGTCGTAGCAGGCAATATCTGGGAGATGCCCGAGGTATTTTCTAATGCTCGAGTCCCTCCGCTGGCGGTGTGAGGCCTGTATCTTTGCTGGTGAGCGCTCTTTCGATACAGCAAGAAAATCTTGCGTATACCATTTTCAACGTGTCATCATTCATTCAACCTTCATTCATACGCACTACGTGCGTACATCAAATTGTTTCTTTTATTTTGAGCAGAGAAGTTGCTCATGTCTATTATGAATAATTATTTTAAAATTTTGTCATCCCTCTCTCGTTTATTTTACGTGTAGGAGGTAGTAGTTGCTGCCTGGTCTACGACACCAAGATCGGGAATAGCTGAACTCTGTTCAGAAGGAAGGGAGTTTCCAATTTCACCTCCCGTTTGAGCTACTTAACTATCCCCAACGAATCAGATTTTAAGCTCAAAATTTAAGTTTAAGTTTAAGCTTTTGAAAGCATTTAATGGGATACAAAAAATAACAGTAAAAAATAGTTGTTCGTTACTCCGAAGTCTAAAGCTCTCTCTATCGACATTTTTCTTAGATTTATATTTAAGATTTATTTTTCAAGAAAATACTGACAAAAAGAATAAATAATTTTAGTGAAAACTGCTAACGAATCGACCCATTTTCCCGTTTTTTATAATCATTTGAAATTTTGGAACCTAAACTTTAATGGCACCTATCTCCTTCCGAAAAAGTTTGGGACGCTAAGTTTCCTATTTACTATTGTTTGTCTTGATGTGTACTATCACCCCTTAAAATTTTGCAGCAGAGTTTAGTGACACCCTGTATATATATATTAGGTTGGGGAAAAAGAAATCCATTATTTTTGCACGAAATTCAAAACTATTTAACATGTTTGGGATTGTCCGATTTGAATCAAATATGTACCTTTTTGTTGTATAATTTATTGCCATTTTAAAGGTAGCTTCATATTGCCTCTCTCATAGAAGTCTTGGCCTTTATTTTGGCGAAAAACTCAAGTAATTGATTTTCACAATCTTCTCTTGATCCCAATTTCTTATCACTAAGGAAGTTTTGCAATTCGAGAAAAAGAAGGTAATCGTTCCCTGCCAGGTTCCGGTCTATATGGTGGATGCATTAAAACTTTCCAACCAAGCTCCCAGAGTTTCTGGCGAGTCACTACAGACGTGTGTGGCGTGACTTTGTCCTGATGGAACAGAACACCTCTTGTACTGGCCAATTCTGGCCATTTCCGGTCAGTCACTAGCTTCAAACGGTCCAGTTGCTGACAGTAGATATCTGAATTTAGTGTTTGGCCCTAAGGAAGCAAATCATAACAAATTATTTCTTTCCAGTCTCAACAAATACACAGAAGAACCTTCCTGGATGTTAGTCCTAGTTTGGCCACCCTTTGAACTGCTTCAGCGGGGTTTGAACATGATCGTTTTCACCCAATATTGTCGTATGTGACCCATTTCTCATTCCCACTCACCATCCATTTAAGAAATGGGTCGATTTCATTCCGTTTGGCCAGGCTTCACAGATGGAAATTAGATCCATCATGTTTTTTGGTGTTAATTGGTGTGGCATAGAAACATTGAGCTTCTTTTTCAATCCAACTTTGCTGAAATGACTTAAAGCTGTTTTATGGTCAATCTTTAGCTCCTGGGTGATGCTATGACTACTAACATGCCGGTCAACTTCGATTATTTCTATGATTTTATCGACATTTTCGATGACGGGCGCGGGGCAACTTTAATATCAAAAATGCCTGAACGAAATCGATGAAACCAAAATTGCACATAATTAGCTGTTACAGTATCGGAACCATAAACACCATTCACAATTTCAGCCGCCTGGCTTGTATTTTCGCCTTTATCAAAGAAAAACTGTAAAATGTACCGAATTTTCTCTTTGTTGACTTCCAATTTTAACACCCTGTAACTCACAACTGAATGGACCAAACAAAAAACAGCAAAATAATTTTTTAGTTTGAAATGTCACCTTGACAACAAACATAAATTTGAAATATTTTGATCAATACTTCAAGAGATATCGACACTACAGACATCTACCGAAAGAATAATGGGATTTATTTTTCCCCAACCTAATATATATATATTGTTCAAATTTTCAATCATTAATGAAATACTTTTTATTCATCCCCTCAAGTTCAAATACATTTTTAAAAACTTGTAGTGGATGACATTAATGTTAGTACAGTTTGTTTTACAGTTACGTTTTATAATTACAATTTTTTTTCATCAATGCTATTTAATTGATGAATAAGTAGTAACACATGAAAATTACAATCCAACACCATACTTAAAAAGGAAAGTCGCTCGTTGTGTCCCTGTAGCGTGATGGACAGCGCTTTGGACTTCTAATCCAGAGAGCGTGGGTACGAATCCCACGTGGGATGGCCTAGTTTCTGAGAATAAGATTTTATGTTACTATATCATTTTATTGGAATAATTAAATTTAATTCATGAATATAAATAGCAACAAACAAAAATAATTGTCCAACACCATATATAGAAAGGAAAATTGCTTTCTATTTGGCCACTTAATATTGTGATTCTGTCATATGTATATACATATTTATATTAATTGTAACTATTTAATAAAAAGTAGCTAAAATAAAATTTTTCTTTATTGTCTTAAGTAGGAATTGACTTAAATTTTTTTTTATATTGCTTGTTTATGAAAAAAATTTAACATACACACACACACATACACACAATTTGATATAGCTACTTGAAACACTTATTTTTAAGTAGTACGTCTTATGGCCTTATCTTCATTACCAAGATAAATGTCTATTATTTATTTGTTATGAATAAGAATATCTCTACTCCTTCTCCATGTATTGTAAAAATTATCTATTGTTTTAGATCAGTTTTAAAAATGTCAAGTTTTCCCCAATAATTTAAAATTAAAGAGTAATTCGAATAAATGCCAAAAGCTGCTCTTTTTTCAGTTGCCTTATACATACATTTCGCAATTTTTCAAGAATTTTTGGTTGTATATTTTTTATTGCGGAACTAATTGTTGAATTACGATCAGATTCTAATGGCTCAAGATGAAATAGACGATGGATGTTATTCTTTCTCTATATGTTGGAATTGACATTATCTTGAAAAGCTTTTAAGTAGCTTTGGTGTTTTCTTAGCTTATTCTTGTATTATAAACTCCTCCCGTTGGTGTGGTATGTAAATTAGAAGAGGGGAGTGACAGCTCAGGTGTTGTCTTCACCACATGACCACGATTAAAAATTACAAGATCCGTCACTAATAGCCCTTGTGCTGCTTTATAGAGGCCGCGGTAGTCCAGTGGTATAGGTATCGGATTGTGACATGCCTTGTCATGAGTTCGAGCCCAGTACCTCTAAAGACCCGCCGTGTAGGGCAGCAATGCACGTTAAATCTGTCGAGAGATGAAACGTCCTCCCGTTGGTGTGGTAGTTAGGAGAGAGGGTGCCAGCTCAGGTGTCGTCCACGTCACTTGACCATGGTTCAAAATTACGTGGTCCGTCGCCAAAAGCCCTCGTGTAGCTGAACAGTGCGACGTTAATATTAATCAATCAAGCTGCTTTATAGTACAATGTAAATATAACTAACTCTTTTACTATTATGAAGAAAAAAAACATTTCTGTAAAAATTAAAAAAATACTACTATACAAATGGTTTTGGAAATTTCTAAGAAATTCATTAATTAATTCACTTTAATTTAATCTTAAAAGTTAAAAAAGTTGACCCTTTAGAACTTCACCTAAATAATTAATTGTTAGGTACTCGCCTGATGGGATATAATCGCAGCTTTATCTCTTTGAAATCAAAAGTCAGCGTTTTTAACGAAGAATTACATAAAGGGCATCATCTAATTATCCGGACAAATCAGAAGAGACGTCCTCGGAAGTCGTGTTAGTTTTTGAGCTTCCGGTTGTCGTTTTTGTACAAACCCAAGATTTCAAGGGAAGTTTACCGGCCGTTAATTTTTTTATAATGTAACCGTGTTAGTGTGTCTGTTATTTTATGTTCTACTTTGTGTTTGTGTGTGTCGTAATTAAGTGTTTATATGAAATAAAAATGGATTACCTTCCACAAAAGAATGCCTCTTCAATGCAACCAACTTTGTATCAACGATCTAGTTCAATAATTGAGTACATAAAGCCTCCCACTCGAAACTACTCAGCATAAATATATAGGAAAAGGGGACTACACAATTACCCAGCACGAGTCGCTGCCAAGTGGCTAAAGTTCCTTACTTTACTATTCGTTCACGTTGTTTCCTTTTCTCTCCCTCTCTCTTCCCTCTCTCTACCTCTCACTCCTTTTTCGGTCTCAGCTCAGTTTGGGATTGCCGCTCGCTTCTCTGTGAAGCGAGTTGAGTCACGTGTCAAGGCGCATGCAGTATTTCCCTCCTGTGAGCCCTTCACACTAATGCATTCTGAAGTGGAGCCGACCCCGTCAACAAAAAATCAGCATTGTTTTGACACGTCGTCTCTTCGATTTAGCATCGACGCTTACCTCCCTGAGAAGCGAGCTGAGTCACGTGTCAGTGCGTATGCAATGCTGCTCTTCCATGAAGCCTTCACACCACACACACACACACACAGACAAATATATTTATTTATAACCGTGTTGAATTTTGTAAAAACTATATCGAGAGTACTAAATTTTGTGATAATATAAAATTCTACTTTCAAGATTATCCATATATAATATATTCTCTTCGCGTTCATTTTCCTAATAACTTTCGGTAAAGTATATTTTATTACTAGGTAAGTTCCTATGTCTTAATAACTTGCCCCTTTTTGTTATCAACTCTATTTGTCTTCGAGAATTTCTCTATTATATACTCAGGGCTGAACAATAAGCATGTTTAGTGAATTATCTTAAATTTCTTCTTTAGAAAAAAAATATTTCAGTAGAGCTGTTATCGGAGATCGTTATCCAGATTCCAGATTCGTTTTGTTATCCAGATTCGTTTATAAGTTTCAAGTAATTAGTTGTTTTGTGCTTCTTTTGTATTAAATGGAAAAATATTGCAAGATATTTTAAAACTGTGATAATGGAGAAGCATTTATAATTTATGTGTGTGAAGCAGACATTATCACTTTTCTTTTATGCAATTCTCTTATTTTTTCAGGTCAAATAATCTTGTTAACACGTTGCAAAAAAGAAACTTACCTACATGATATTAAAAAGAAAGCGAGCGTGCAAATGAAATCCTTCATTGTAATTAAAACGAAATAAAAATTTAAATAATCTTAAAGAGAGAGAGAGAGAGTTCTCTTAAAATATTTAAAAGATTAACTTTCGATTGGATTAAATATCTTGTTGGAAATAATGCAAGAGATTAATTTTAAAGTTCGAAAGAAATCTTATAAATTATTCGGTTTACTTTTATCAAATTCCATTAAGAATCCAAACAGGACCCGAACTTTGTTAGTAAATTAAAATGTCGCAGAAGTTAATCGAATTGTATCCTTACTAATTATTTTTTTTCCCCATAATTTTAAAGCACATGTATATTAATATGTATTTGAAAGTAAATATACATCTCTAATTTGCAAGCGTTATTGTGCTGTGAAAAATCATAAATTACACTGTAAGATTTTTAAGAACTTTCATTTTAAGCAATATAGTTGTATTATATATATATTTATATATTTCCATAAATCTTATTTTTTAAAAAAAAAAATATGTCTGAAATGGAGAACTTTATACAAACTTTAATTTTCTAATGAGTTACTTTGAAACACTGTTGATCATTGCTACTTTCAGATGCTTCTTATAAGAAAAAATATAGTATCGTAATGAAGTCGATTGAAAGAGAACCAAAGTAATTCGAAACTTTGTAATAAACACCATTTTTGTTGGAAAGTCTGGAAATATCTGTTGGTGTATTAAAGATATTTATGAGAAGAAGTACTCTGAACTGATATTTATGATAAAAATAGAAGCAAATTACGAATAATGACTGTTGGGGAGAAGTTGCAAACTAAAAAAATATTTAGAGTAATAAAAGCAAAATACGAAGCTTCTATGATTGGCCACCCACATCAAAATCCATTTCATCCAATAGATCATTAAGTATTTAAAAGGAGGAGACTATAAACAGCCTCTCTCTATGTGTATACAATACATAATATATAGATATATGTGAAAGCGACTTAATTTTTTATGAAAACATATTTTAGAAGTTCATTAAGGAGAGCATTAAAGCCTCTTATTAGCCCTAAAAGTAGAATAAGGAAGTTTACGAAAATGATGTTGAAATAAAATTATTTGCTTGAAGGATGGCGAAAAGTTTCCAAGCATAAATCAAGCATATACTTCTACTCTGAGTAGTTTTTAAAAATTTTAAAAGCAAGTCCTCAAGCTAGACATTTAACCTTTATGTTAAATAAGGCGGTGTATACTTTTAAAAACTAAGTGAGGGATATAATGTCTCATCAACTCTCTTCTCTGTATTCAGTGGAGGTTAAACTAAAGTGGAAGTCAAGAGGCTTTAATATATGTGAAGCGTGAAATTTGAAACGTGATCGCTTAGGAAAGGTAATTTCTTTAAACAGCAGCGCAATTAGCGTTTGATCGATAAAACGACAAGATTTTTAGTTAAAGTGCTCTGTCATTTAAAAGAGTGTAATACTTAAGACAAGTTCCTGTAAACTGAAATTTTATGTTGTTACTAATTGTAAACGAAAGTTATGTTTATTATTTTCTAAACTTATGCCTTTAGTTTTTTTGGTGTTATTCTCAGAAATGCTTGCTAATTAATTGCTCGGGGAACAAGAAACTCTTAATAAGTATTTACCTTCTTTGTTGTGAGGAAATATTTTAAACTTACAAAGTGCTCAAAAACAATTTCTCATCACCTTTAGAAGATTTAATCTGTATTTTGTTATACTTAAAATGTGTTGAAGTAAGCCAGCCTCTTATTTACTGCAGCTCGGTATCAGTAGATAGAGAAGTTTATCACGTAAATGAGAAAATGATACGTCATTATAAAGAATATTACAGTAAAACTAATCTGATATAATCTGACATAACATGAAAACTAGGGAATTAATCTATTGCAGAGAAAATCGATGAAGAAATAAATGCTATTATACACACCCCAATTATAAAATCTCATTGAAGCTAATCAAGGTACAATAAATGGAGAAACCCAAATTTTCTTTCGCAACTCAGCTAAAAGTCAATCTGTAAAGACACTATAAAACTCTTATCTTCGATAAATATTGTCTTAAAAATTTATGTTTGAGTATATGGGACATTAGACATTATTCTATTGTGAGTGTTTGAATTCAAAAATTAAGCAAATGTTCAAAAATAAAGCTACATATATGAGCTACAGCGCCGTTATATTTATTATTTCTATCTCGACATCAACTTTATTGCGTCATGTCTATTC